TAAAATTACATATAAAATGTACTTAAGTCCTACTTAAGTGGGTCAAAAGAGCACTCTAAAATTCAGCTAATTGCAATTAATATGAATTTAAATTATAATACATTTCATTAAATTGCATTTAACATTCAGTTATGTCAAAAATCATTACATTAAGCTCACACACTGTAAAAAAAAAAATGATATGTCTATATATACTTTAACTCATCAAAATAAGCTGAGCAAATTCAACTAAATTGTTTTAGCCAGTTTAAGTTGAAATGACTTATACAACCAAACTTATTTATCAATTTAAGGCAACAACTGAACTGAATATTTAAATTGCACTTAAGTATATTATATTAAAGGATATTATTTCCATAATAACTACTCTTTTTAAAAACATGCTAAAGCGCTCTTCTTTTTCACCAGGAATTTCATTTAACTAGTAAGTTAAAAGTGTTAAGTGTTTGTGGTTTTGTACCCTACAGAGCATCATAACTGCACTGCTGGAGAGTTTGTGCAGTGAGTTTCCTTCTCTGTTTCAGCCACAGTGCAATAAGATGGTTGAAAAATACGTCCAACTGTTGGTTGACATGCTACTGAATAACACTTCTCCTAACTTCATATGCACTCTGCTTCGTTTTTGTGAAATATGGGAGCATCCTGTCAATGGTTAGAGTTCAGACTTTGGGTTACAGTATTTCTTTTTTACCTTTGAATTAACAATTCTGTAACATTATGAAAGGAACAATTCACAAAAATATTCATTATTTTGTTTTGTTTTGTCCCTATAAACAAATTATTTTACCTCTCATCCTGTTTCTTCATCCCGCTCTCTTTATCGAACAGCAGCTGTGGCACTTTCTGATTGTGATTCTTGCCTTACATTGGCGGTTCTGACTCATGTTCATCTGGGCCCCAATGCCACCGAGCACCAGGCTGCTTCATTCCTGGACACCGTCTGCCAGCTGCACCCCAGTGCTATGCCAAAGGTTACACATCATTCTGCTCCTTTAAGTGAATGACTTTAAAGTGCCCTTAATTTGCAAGTTTACAATAATTTCTACATCTCATCTAGTGTGAGACTTACGTGCAGCGTCATGGGAACCAGCTCCGTGTGCTTCTGAGCAAACAGCAGGCGGCGCTGGACATTTGTAAGGTAAAAACACCTGTGGAATACCCATGGCTCTTGACAATATGCTGAGGTCTTCTGAAGCAGTCCGGAATGATGTCCGGTTCATGAACGAATAATTTTTTTTGAGCCGGTTCTTTTTAATGAACTAGATGAACAAGTTCACCAAATTGGACTGAACCGTCTGAAACAGCACAGATCTACAAGTTACTAAATCAAAACTCACTTTCAGACATGCC